CCAAACTTTTCACAGGCTGTCACTAATTGTGAGTTCCTCATTTGCTGAGTGCCCAACTTGAGATCCTTGGCATCTGTCTGACAATGCAGAAGCGCTGAGCATTCACAGGTGAATTTGAAGTCAATGGGAGCTGTGCTTTAAACATATCAAGTGCTATACAATGCTAGAGAGCACTGAAATGTTAGGGCCTAGGCATCTCAAATTGGCACCCAAAATTAGTGAGTATTTTTTTACCATAATCTCTTTTTGTCTTGGTTCCCCATTTGTAAAACAGGGATAATAATATCCCCTTCACCTCATCGGGCAAGGCTGCACGGCAATAATTTATGAATACTGTATGCTGACCTAGCTATTGGGATGTTTATTGTATGGTGTGGGATGTTTATTGTAGGAATGTGTTGGTTTAGGTCAAAGCAAGCTGCTGGGAAAACAAACAGGAAGCATAACAGCTTGAAGACAGTCACTCCTCTGCCAACACTTGGCGAGAATGTCTCCTGTATTGTCCCTGGTGATGTTCTACCTCTGTCCCCCGCTAAGCTCACTGGACCAGTCTGTCAAGGGGGTAGAGGGTTCAAACTTGTGAACACGGACCACGATTAAATTTAAACAGACAAGCAAGGGAGAGCCAGTAAAGTGAAACAGACAGACACCCAGAACTAGGTTGCGGGGTGACCGGGAAAGTGAGGCCTGTCCAGGAACTTTACCAAGAATAGGTAAAATATTAATTGATCTACCTTTGGTTGTTTTAAAACCCTTTTTCTTCTACTATGCTTTATTCCTGCTGTTAAGATTAAACAGTACCTTGGGTTTTAGAAGGCTATCTGGAAACTGTATTCACCATGTGTCACAGAATCCCAAAGGGAAGAACTCCAGATGCCAAACCCAGTAAGATCTGCTTGGAAAACCATGGTCCATCCCATGTGCCTGGTCTAAGAGTGAAAGAATCATGTGCTTTCACCCCAGGAGAGGTATAAGGCACAAGGCCTAACACTGAAGCGGGTGCACTCAGAGAGACCAAAGTGGGAACAGAGGTGCAGCTAGCCCTGGAGCCATGATATAGCAGTGTAGTGAAAATAAATTCATTCGTGTTTGCGATGAACGCCATGGAAATGCCAGTGACAAAATTATTAACTCTGTCTTCAGAGGACAGTTTGACTAGTATGCACTAAATAAGGCTCGGGGCAACACACTGAACAAGCAGGAGGAAAAAAATATATGGAATAACTGCTCATTAAGTGAGCACCATCCATTCTGTGCACTGAATGAGGCAGGGGTCATGTGGAAAAAACAGCATGCGACCATGTCATTAAAGACTATATCATAATATAAAAGCGGGGAGGGGAAGAATCTTAATGGTGTGTGTGTGTGTTCGTGTTCAAGACTTTTACTTATATTAAGAATTTGGGCCAGATCATCTGTCTGGAAACTGCGCGCAGAGAATTCTGCCCTTTTTGGGTGGGGCTGAGCCATCCCTGTGGCACTGTTTCTCTGTAGGTGGAGGGCAGGCAGGCTTTGGCAAAAGGGAGGCTAAATGTCTCTCCCGCAAAGCCTGCAGAAAACTAGTCAACCTCTGTGCTAGAAGTGCCCCCTTCTGGGTTCCAACAGAACTGTGCCACCAGGAAGCCAGAGGGAGGCCAGAAGCCAGAGGGATGAGTGCATAGGGTGTCTTTATGCAGAATGCTCTCCCTGGCCCAGCTGATAACCTGTCACTCTCATTCTTGGGATGTGTGTTTCCTGGGAATAGAACTGTCTTTTCATCAGCCACCCCCAACCCTGCTCATTCCATGAGGGTGAGTGGGCAAATCCCACAGCGCCTGATGGAACTAACTGGTCATGAAGAAATGGTGGTGTCTGTTCCTGGCATTGACGCACCACTTCCAGTGGAAAATCCCACAGGAGGATGAGGAAATATGGCCTTTTGATTTCACACATTGCTTGACTTCCTATGTTCTGAAGCTGATTTGGGTGGTTGGGGTGGAGAGTAGGTTATTGACGGCAGCTATAGCCATATTATGACATATCATCCTGGATCCCAGCTTCCTGCCGACACAGACCAAAGAGGGAGATATTCCACCTTCAGTCTATTTCAAGGACAGCTTTTCCTTCATTTGTTGCATTAAATGTCCTACCAGGTCACCTCAAACTGTGAGACACTCGTCCTTTAAAACAGCACTTTTCACTGGCTTCATTTCTGCAAAGAGCTTGAGATTTCCATCTAGACTGTGGCTGATATATAGACGGAGGACATGCACGGAGGGGATTTATCGCTCCTGTAAATCCTCTGGGAAGCTCTTTGAATTGCATATAAAGCACAGTGAGTAATTTCATGCCAGGCAGTTTCTAGAGATTTGTGGGGCGCGGTGCAAAGATGTCCTTTTGATAGTGTTTTCAAGGAACAGACGTTGGATGTTTCCCACACTCAATTTATAAGACCTCTTATACATTGTTACAGGACACAGACTACTTTGCAGAGGATGCTTCAGATCTTCTGCAATAAACGTTTGTGAGAGCATCTAATGTCCACAGTTTATTAATACTTGTTCCTAGAATATTAAAAATTGAAGTTCTTCCAAGTTCACACTGTCTGCTACAGGTTTTAGGGTTTAGAGTTCAATGCAGAGCAGGTGAATCTTGCATATAGCAGCACCCCATTAGGTCAGCACTCTGCTCTGGTCTCCCCACTTTTTTATGTATTTATTTACTGCAGCAAGAAAGGGGAAAATGGAACAGAACAAGAGGCACAGAGTGAAAGAAACACAGGTGCTGTTAAAAGACGTCAGAGGAAAATGTTACTGCTATTTATGTAACCGTGCACATGAATTTAAAGAGCAAAAAAGACAGTCAGTGTTTCCAATGAGATACCATATCCCACACCTCTGTTATGGTCCTGGGCAGTCACTTAAAGACACCATGACTGTCCCCCAAGAAATCCAATCTTCTAATGATAGGAAGTCACTGGAGCTACTCGTGGTAAGCATTATGCCTGGAGTTCAAAATAAACGTCCTGAAACTTCCAAAACAGTAAAACTAAGGAAGACTTGCCTTGGTTCTGCTGATATTTCTCAGGTACAAAATAGCAGCAAAATAATACTGAGAAAGAACTGGAGGGAGTGGCGGGTGGAAATGTCCAGCCCTTCTTTATCCATTATAAAGAAGCAAAAGAGGGCAAAAGCCCAACCAAAAACATTTCCTTTGCTGCTGACCTTTAAAGTGAGAAGATAAAAGTATCCAGGAGGAGTTCAGCTGAGGTGGGTAGAGTCGAGGCAGTGGCAGACACGGGCAATACTGAAGAAGTGGCAATAGGGAGATATGCAATTATGAGAGACAATGAAAATAATACTTGGCCCTTCTGAAGCACGTTCCATCAAAGCACTGTACAAACTTTAAGCTCATTAATTAGCCCTCATATGTGGGAAAGAAAGAACCGCAATGATAATATTGTGGACAGTGCAGGCAAAAGGAAGATTTGACAGGTACTTGGAAGTGTTGGTGACTCACTTATTAGAGTAACATCAATGGCACCATTCATTAACATTAATGACACCCATGGAAACACAATCAGTTTACTAAACAGGGATTGTGTGTGAATAATGTATAGCGGGGACATGAGTACACTTCAGTTCCAATTCAAGGGGGTAGAGTAAAGTGTTTCAAAGACATATATGGTGACAGCACGTGATCCACAGCCCTGAATTCTGTGGGACCATGACTCATTGCACAAGATATTAAATTAACCCATTTTTACTGCACAGCATCGATCCAGCACGCCAATAACTGTACTTTATGGCTCTTGGTCACTTTATTAAGTTCAGCTTACGAAGATTTTTTTTTAAAGTGCACCCAAGGAATTCAGGAGCACAAAATCCCATGATTTTCAATGGAACACCCGTGTTCCTAAGTCCTGTAGGCACTTTGGGAAAATCCCACTTGTAATATCTCCCCGGCCCCTCTCTCTCTCTTTTTTTTTTTTCTTTAACTATTTTAGGTGAATTTAGTGCTGGTGGAAAGATGTTGTGCTGACAGCTCTGAATAATGAAATCCTCTGTTCACCAGCATAATGGGCACAGAAGAGGTGCAAGCTTCCCCCTGCACTGACCCTTGCCAGCATGTCTCAGCCCTCCCTCGGAGAAACAACTTCTGCTGCCCTGATGGTTGCTTTGTGCACACATTCCATCCTCGACCTCTCTCTGCTGAGAACGCCCACAAAGGCAACATACCCCATTACCACTCACCTCCCTTAGGCTATAGTTTTGTATAAAATTATGTCAAAGACAACTCCAGATATTCATTCATAAAAACAAGATATTAAAGTGCATGTTAGTGAGTCATTCTCAATAACTGCCAAATGGACAGCTAGAGCACGCTGGATCTATCCGTGGCACACTGCAGTCCCTCAGCTCCTTTACAGTGCTTTAATTTTACCTCCTGTTTCTCCTGAGAGGCTGTTGCAAGGGAGTCATGACAACGACAACACAGCGGTTCTTAGCTATCACTGTAACAGTGCACACATCATGGCCATTTAAGATGCTGCTAAACTACAGCATTTAAACCACATTTCTTCTCTTTCCTCTCTGAGCAAGCTCTCCTCTGTTTTGCACGAACAAGACGGTTTTGGTACCATGTATTTTTATAAGCACCATAAAAGGAACTGTGTTTTAGATTCAGACCTTATGCAGGTGAGGAGATTTCTGAGTTAACCCATGATGCGAATGAATAACATCAGTACTGCCATGTTAAAATAATCCAATCCTGCTAATCTTATTCTAGAATACTGCAATGGGATTAGTCATAGAAAAACTGCTTGAATGAAGAAGGATTTTCAGGATCAGGCTCTTACTTTTCCAGACTTCAGAAAGAAATAAAAATCAACATAATCTATTTCAACTATGTCTAGCTTCTGTAGCCAAACCTAAGGTGTTAGTATATAGCTACTGCTATCACGTACAATGTTAGACTTTGGGTTAGGACACTGAGAAGCTAATTGTCCATAATGGCTCTACCTGAGCTCAGCTGGGACTGGTTCAGAGTCTCTGTAACACATGCAGAACCTGGCTTTACACTAGCCATCTCCAAATCTGCACGCAATTTGGGGAGAGGGGGGGAAGGGGTGTAGAGAGGGACAAGGCAAGAGAAAGAACAAACATGGTTAATTTAAAAAAAAGCTAATGGAACAAACTCTAGGAGACTAACGATTTCATTTGCAGAGAGAGTATTAACAGAATGAACATGTCAAAAGTCTGGGTTCTGACCTGATGTGCTCTGAGGCACAGATTCTGTAGGACACACCACACATTCTACATATTTATGAGGGTGAAACTAGATGTAGGCAGCCTACCCACAAGCCTAACCTTTGAAAAGAACTGGGCTATCTGCAACCACATGTAAATAGGATTGTTGTCAGCAGGTTCCTAGCACTGGTGTATAAGGATTTTGATAATGGCAGTGCTAGAACCTTGCTAGTACCGGTGGTGTGGTGGCTGCAGCTTGCGCAGTCCCGGTGTCAGGAGTAGTCAGGACCCAAAAGATATAGGGCCACATTTTCAGAGGTGCTCAGCTCCGGCTGAAGTCAATGGGAGCCATGAATGCTCAGCAAATCTTAAAATTAGGCTCATGCACTATAAACCTTTCCTCCTAGATGAACATGCATCTAAAGAAAGCTACATGAGCAGAAAAACAAAGAAGGGAGATACCCACCCCCTAACACTGGCAAAGTCTGGGGGGAGTAGGGAAACCTCTATTAAAAAATAATACCCACACAAAGTCTTCCTAAATTATTAGAAACAGGAGATGTTTAACTGGGGCCCTTTGATATAGGGAAATATTACAAACAAGAACCACCGGTGTAGAGCACAGATGAATACTTAAGCATGTCAATGAAGTCTCACATGGTATGTACTGGCGTTCCATGTACTGTGGCAGCCAAATTTCTAATCTATTTGCTTCATTTGTATTACTCAGAAAGGGACATGGCTGCCAAAAGAAATTAATTTCACATGAAAAACAAGTAAAACCACTAATAAGCTTTATACCTTTGAGCAGAAATATGATACTTGAATCAGTGTTTGAACTCTTCCCTCTAACGAAACTGTTTTAAAGCAGAGTGAGTCTGAGTGTTGACCTTTCAGGTTGCATTAAGTAACCAGAGAGGTAGCCACTCTTTTTTTCAGGTTACAAAAGGAAAAAAAAACACATCATCTGAGGTTAACTGCTGCTGAACCCTAGAAAGAATGGCATTTCTGGAGGGATCAAGGTTTACTTCTTTCCCACAAAGTTTCTCTGTACAAGAAGAAACGAAGAAGATTCTTTCTCTCTCTGTTTTTTCCACACATCCAAAAAAACTCAAAACCGAAACCCCTCTTGGTTCTCACTAGTACTCATTATCCTCACTGCAAAATTTGTTTACATTGTATGTCAATAATATGGCTTCTTGTGTCAATCGACTTTACCCTCTTTCACAGAGTCTCTGCCCCAATATCAATACCCTCAGGCTCTTTCCTTTGTCACTGAGAGTTGGGATGACAAAGAAAACAGCTCCTTTATGATTAAGGACACTGCTGGCAATATTTAAAGAAGGAAAGCTTTCCCCTATTGCATGACCCTATCGGAGACACAAGCAGGCACTGCTCTGTTGCTCTCTTTCATGGCCTCATGGGTGGCCAGTATCCTTCTGCCAAGTCTGTAAGCCCCCACTGCCTCACTGCGGGCATTCATCAAAGAAGCTCCTCACAACTGATAGGAGTGCTGTCAAATGACACTCTTCCTTCCATCCAGAGATGTCTCTGCAATGGTCCCCAAATCCCGGCTGATCCACATAGAAAGATATTCCCATTCCCCACCATGCAGTGCAAAGCACCATCTTTAGATCAATTTGCTGGGAAGGGTGGGGCAAGGAGATGGGGACTTTTTAAATAATCAATTTGTTTAAAAGTTTATACTTTGATTTATGGAAACCCAAGAATAAAAAAGCATCTTACAATGGGGGATGTACAAGGGAGGCTCAACATGTATCAGGCTTCCACCTTTAAGATCTTAAATTTCTGACAAGGGGATATAATTTTACTGTCACTGGACTGATTATTATTTGTGTTGCATCAGAGTCTAGAGGCCCCAACCAAAATCAGAGGCCTGCTGTACTGGGCACTAAAAGAATACTGCTCCCAGGTCACCTCACAGAGTCATTCTGGGGCTGGGGAGTGCCTAGTACTAATAAAATTATCTACCCACTTTTAAGAAAATCAGCTTAATTATTTTTCTCCTGAAGATTGTTTTAAAATATATAATGTGCTGTCCACGCTATATTTAGTTCTCTTCCATCTCCCAACTCTTTAGCCTGTCTTTCTTCCAGCTGACACCCTCATTTTGTTTGCACGGGGGTTATGAAGGTGTTTTCTTCATCTTTGATCATGGTTTTAATGCCATATAGTGACCCTAGCATATTTGGCAGAAGAGGGTTAGAATTATCATTGTCTTTGTTTCCCAGCTGCATTTGTTTTATGTTTAAAGATCTTAAAGGCACACACTGCAATACAGTCTGGCTTTGGCTTCCTTGAACATCCCTCAAAGCATTGCAGCTACTGACTTGCATGTATGCAAAAACGAAAGAGAGAAAAAAGGAATAAATGAAAACGTACAAGGGGGGAAGTAGCTCCAAGACGCTGGACGGGCTCCGTGGGCAGGGGATACTGGGAAGGTACAATTAAAAAAAAAAAAAGAAAGAAAGAAATGGTTAAAACATGCACCCATTCAAAATGGGTCAATTTCAATTCAAGCGTGGCTAGACTGCAAGCAGTGCCATTTTCTTGCAAACCCACATATGGACCTAATCAATCCTTCAAGGTGCTAGAAACCTTCTGAGAGGTGCGGAATGCCCTAAACCCCACTAAAATCAACCAGGAGTTCAAGGGACTCAGCACCTAACAAGGGGCCTGATTCAGAAAAGCACCTGAGCGTATGTTTTAACCTTTATCCCATCCCTGCTGAGCAACACACCTGAACACATGATTTAGTCCCATTATCTCAATGAGATATAAGCATGTGTTTACGGTCACACGTGTGCTTTGTTGAATCAGAGCCAAGTATGGGAGCTGTATCACCTCTATAAAGATGGACAATTCCAACCAGGAAAGAAATCACCTCCAGAGTTTGCAATATTACATTTACAAAAATAATATACTTCTCTACCTGACTGGGTCCCCTTTTACATTTTATTTTGCTTCATTTCTAATGGCGCTCAGGCTAAAAGCTGCTTTAACTTACTTCTCAGTCTGTGCATGATGGCCCGCAAAGATGTGAAGGAAAGTGCAGGGCTTTGACAACAGGGTTACTCTATTAACTCACTGCAGAATAGCAAGGAGAGCGTATTTGATGTGTCAGCCTGAAGGGCTGGTTTGCTTTTATAATTAATTTTAACAACCAAATGCCAATAAGAATCCAGAAGTAATTTTACACCAGATTAGAACACTTTGAATCTGGGTCCTAAACAAGTTGACTTTGTCCTGTTAAAGTCTTATTATGAGCACTCAACCTGATGGGCTGACTGACAGGTGGTGCCCATAACACCTGAGACATACACATGGAAGATGCTTTGCAAAAAAAAAAAAAAAAAAAATCATTTAACAACAAGATGCATGTGTAGAAGAGGGTCCCCCAGTCCTGCAAGGTGTTGACCATCTGCAGCACCTATTAAATTCAAGGGGAGCTGAGATTACGTAACATCTCGTAGAACTGGTGTCTAAGTTTGTCAATATTACAAGAACATTTTCAGGCTACTGCACAGAGAACTACATGCATCAGCCTCAGGCACATTAGTGCATTTCGCTCCTTTCCAGCAGCACACTGAAAGTGTAGCCTCAAGCTGGCTCACTAAAATTCCAATTCAATTTAGATTTAACAGGAAAGTTATACATTAAAAACTCAATAATTAATTATTTTTAAATCATCGCTGAGGATTAACAAAAATGGTACTACATTTAATTATACATGTTTTAACAATCAATTTGTATTTTGTCTAGAGTAACTGCCAGCTAGAATCTATTTCCAATGGGCATTAAGCAGTGCTAACTAGTCTGCTAAAATACAGGATCTGCATTACTGAATCTATGCTGTTTTCTCCCTTCATCTGCATATTCCAGTACATCTTAAACAAAACACTTTGTCCTTGTCTCCAGAGTTTACAACTATCTTATTTTAATGCAGGTTCAACTTCTTCAGCGTTTGTTTTGTTAGCAACCATCTCTTAAACAATTGGTGCAACTCAGTTTTACATCTTTGCATTTAAAATGATGGATTCATTTTCAATACTCAATTCGTACCACAGACCTGGATTTTAAACACCTCTGAAGTTCAGTGGGTTATTTGAATCTGGAGTTTTGATTCATCGTCATTATTATGTTAAAAATATTTATTTGTGGTTAACAACTTGCAACACATGTATTAAAATATTAGCTAATCCTCATTAAGGCTTAACACCATATATATAAGTATAATACATATTATATATATGGTGTTAAGCTTTAATGAGGATTTGCTAGTATATATGTGCATATAGATGGTAGATAAGTAAATGTACCTGTTAAATCTAAAAAAACCGAATTCCTTGGTCATAAACAAGGCTGATATTCGGGTTAGTGGTGGCACAGCCCCATTGGAGTTTTAAAGAGTTCGGCACTTTGAAAGAGTAATGAGTGAGAGAGATGTCCCGCACCAACCCACCCCTTCTCCGCTACGCTCAGCACTTCATGCCGTCAACTGCTTATGTTTATGCTTTGTTTTCATATTGGCACTAATCTCTCCCAATTTAAGAGGTGACATATGTTCAAACACCTTCCAACAAACTATCAAGCCAAAGTATTTCTGAGACAAGATTTGGTAAGCAAGGCTTTATGCAGGATAAGACACACAATAACAAGTTACATGTTAACAAGCAAGACATACGAGTTCATGCATGAGGATAAGCATGATACCCTTTTTTAAATGGCATTCAACTACCATAGCGGATATTCAAAGGTTAATGACCAAAGATGACACATAAAAAGAGATGATGCCTAAAATCATTATAATGAAAAACTGACAAACTGAGAAGATATGAACAAATGCACATCCTGTTCCCAGACAACACCTACCAGAGATGAACAATACTGGATGAGAGGAGTAAGAAACACTTGAAAGGCACTTCCAAACATTCCACTTTGAGGAAAAACACTGATGGTTTTCCCTCAGCTAAGCAGCAGGCTGAAAGTTCAAAAGGCTCACATCTCACCAGAAAGAATAATAGTATCTGGAATGTGTGTGTCATCTGTCATCTCCAAGTGTCCCAAAACTCTTTAAAAACCATACAGCCAGGCACTACTTCCATCTACGGTACCACTCAAGTTCAGTCACCTCTGGGGTGGGAATTACTCATTGTCAAACAGTGCATAGTAACACTACATAATAATTTGGGACAGGAAGTGAAGATTAGAATTCCATTGCCAAATGAAATGGAATTGAAGAAGGTAAATTACAGTTACTCAAACAAATGGGAATTTGGCCAGCACACTCTTGCTCTGTACTATGGAGTTTTTAACAAACAGAGACACGTCATTGGTTGTGGGTCTCAACTGAAAGAGGAGGGTGCCTTGCACAGAGCTAGGGAAAATATTTTGTCAAATAGTTTATTTGCTGAAAAATGAAGTTTCAGTCGACCCAAAATTATTCATGAATTTGTGTCGAGTTCAATCCCACTTGAAATATTTTCTGACTTTTGGATAGCCAAAATTTTCAAAAAATTCCATTATTAGTTTGCCCCCAAATGAATGTTTTTGATTTTTCAGAATTGCCAGTGAACCAAAAAATCCATTATTTGCCCAGCTCTACTTCTGTGGTATTGGACTCACTAGAAATAATCTGGGGCACTGGTCAATGCAAATTCAAAAGGGAAAATGCTACTCAAAAAATAACTCTCACTGATTCCTGAAGCACCTAGCTTTTCTATGTACTGCCCCATGGAGGTACTCATCGAGTCTTCTCCAGCTAAGCTTGTGAGGTCTCACTGGATCATGACTTGAGATGCTATGTTTGCAGAATAAATGCTGAAATACACTTGAAATTAAAGCTTGGTATTTATAAGCCTGATGTGGTGATAGAGATCATGGTTATAAAAAGACAACTCATTCCAAGCAATATAGGAACCCACTTTAGCTATCATAAATTGGACTGTTTATTTTGAATTAATAAGATATAGGTCTACATATATATCTACACACAACTACAAATTCTGTATTAAAGCAGAATTGAAACCAATTTAAAGTGTTACACTGGGCTTTCATTTCACAAATGATGCCATTGATGCATTCAGAAATGCTAGTTTTAATTACAAGCTTTATTGTCAAATATATCTTAAAGCAAACTCATGGCAAGAAGCATTTTTTCTTTTCTTAGTCCTTTGAATGTCAGAATAACTGGATAAAATGGATAAAATTTTCACTTAAATCCAGGTTTCCTGTTATTCTTTAGACAGTTATTCAGCTCACATCTCTGGTGTTAGCAAACACCTCTATAATTAAAGAAACATTATTCCTAAATGCAGACTGTACCTAGTCCCAACTCTCCTCTTTAGCCTCCAACATCTCATTTTCATTTGAATCTCACTCATTAATTGTACTTCATTTAAGCCCAACCTAGTATTTTATGAGTCTATTAAAGTGTTACTCCCATCACTTCTGCAAATCAAGATCTCAGTCACTATGAATAATAATAAATAGCAGGGCAGGAAATTCTTTGCTTTACATCTGCTTTTCATTAGATTACTTAACCCAGCAAAATCTATGAGCAATTAAACAACACAATCAGTTCTATGTTTGTAAATTCCGTCATGGCAAACAACTCAATGCTGTAGATACAAAACATCCTGAATGCTTTACACACAAAATTCTGATTAAGGAAACAAAGGTCACATTTTGCTAAATCTGCTTTACTGAGTCGAAATCTAAAACCTTAGGTTGATTCTGGTTGGAATACCCTGCTAAGGTAAAGTAAGGCCCCAACCAATTCCTGTTGGAAAAGCATCTCGCTGTTCCCTGGAAAAGCTAACGGCAACACTAAAATATAGATAATTAAAAAGATATCTGATGTGAACTTTAACGTGTTTGGAAATTGGTCTGGAAGCCTGAATCACGCATTATATTCACAGAACGCACACAATATAGGTAGGGGAAATACAGATTTCTCCACACTGTCCCACCAACACAACTTTAACCATGTTGTGGAGGGACTGCTTCTAAAAACTAAAGGAGGACTTGTGGCACCTTCGAGACTAACCAATTTATTTGAGCATAAGCTTTTGTGAACTACGGCTCACTTCATCGGATGCATTCAGTGGAAAATACAGTGAGGAGATTTATATACACACAGAACTTGAAAAAATGGGTGAAAACTGAATGTATCGTTCAGTCTCCATGCCTTGTCTTTTCAGCTGAGATTGCCAGCAAGGTGCTGACCTGGTGCTAATTTGGGGACCACTTTAGCAAAGCACCTAAGCACATTCTTAACTTTAAGCACATTCTTAAATCAATTCCTTTTCAACAAGGCAGTTAAGCATGTGCAGAAGTGCCCGAGTGAACTGGGCCTCTGATGCATTTCTTTGTGATGCTGGATATAAGGCTACAGAGTAAATTTTCAAAAGCACTAAGGTGATATAGGAGCCTAAGTCCAATTTTCAAAAGGGAGTTGGCTACTGGGGAGCCTACGGCCCAGATTTTTTAAGGCATTTAGGGGTTGCTGCACTCAGTATTGCAACACCTAACTGGTTTAGAAGCCTAAATCTCATTTTCAAAAGGGACTTAGACACAGAGGAGCCAAAATCCCAATGTTTGTCAATGGGATTTTGGCTCCTAGGTGCCTTTTGAAAATGACGCTTAGCCTCCTAAATAAGTTAGGTGTCGCAATGCTGAACACAGCAATGCCTCGATATCTTTAAAAATCGGGGCCTATGTCTCACTGAAAGTCAATGGCACTTAGGCTCTTTTGAAAATTTTATCCATAGGCACTAGTTTGGCCTGTCCTATCTAAGCAGCTCTTCTATATTAGGTCATTTCTCAGAAGAGACTGAAAAACAGACCATTGTTAAAAATATTTTTTGATTCTCCAGATATGCAGGCTGCTGAGCTGCCTACTATAAATGTAAATACCTCTCTCCATTCACAAACCAGGTTACTTACAATGGGACAGATGGCAATTCAAGATTCTATTTTTAATGTGAAGGTTCTGTTGATTGTAGGCTTAAGATGTGGCTTTGTTTTTTTCTTGGTAGCCTTAAGTAAATCCTGAATGCTTGGGGCCTACCGTATGTATGTGGTAACTATTAAGGAAGGTTAACACTGAGACCTAATAATCCTTCCATGTACTCACTGCAATAGAGCTTGTACCTTTTATACAAAACAAATGTTTTCTTTGATTGTGAAAAAAAAACCTCTCTCCAGTGTGCTGTTAAAGCCAAATAGAATATATTAATCTATGCTGCTTCATTATCTCTCATTAAGGCTTACTAAGAAACTACTCACCAGCAATTCGTGACATTTAATTTAATTGCCTGAGCCATATTTAATGATAAACACTTGTGACTGTGATGGTCTTCCTCAGCCCAGCTTATATTAGGGTCTAAAGTTGCCTTTGTCTACATGTTCGGACTGATAAAAACACGGTTGAAGAAGTGAATGACTGCAGTACTTACAGATCAAGTTCAAGCTTTGAGAAATGCATATTGGATTTACTGAGCGCACACCTGCTGCAATGACTTGACTTGCTAATGAGCTATGCAACAGAGAAGCTAACACAAGTGCATTCCCACGTTCCTGGAGAGGATGAAGGCAGGGCAGGGGGACTGGGGCAACAGTGGAAAGTATTCTTTCCGAATGTTCAGCCATTCAAAGCATGCAATATTGATGCACTGCATAGATACCTTAGCGTTCATGACTCTTTACTGGTGAGCCACAAGCCCTGAGAACTAAAATAGAATTTGTCAAAAGGAATTTCACTTAGTAAAATCAATCCCTGGAATGACAGTTTTTTAAAAAAGTGTCAAATTGGCACTCTTGGCAGATAAAACATATCATTAAGGTGGGTGTTCTCCCAGGCATTCCCCAGAAAAGGGGAAAACCCTTCATTCTCTATCACTCAGTTATCCTAGAGGGACTGCTTGCTGCTACGCTGCACCGTTTTAACGCAGCCAGATCAGTGATTTCAAGATGTTTCCCTTGACACAGAGACAGCAGTTAGGGTGACCTTTTAAAGCAGGATTTATAATAATAAATTTTAAAAAACCACAGAGCAAAGAACAATCTCAGTATCATTAGGATGTGCAGAAATACATGGGGTCATGCATGTGCACCAGTCAGTGGAGTAAGCCCTGAACTAGACTAGTGGAACTGAGAGCAGAATCAGGTCCAACATCTTTTTCTCCATTTAATTTTTCCTTGATCAGTTCATTCCCGTAATAATGGTCCTTCACTTTATACAACAGCTAGCTATCCAGAAAAGAAGTGGGGTGAGAAAGGTGGGTTTGGGCTTTGGATTTGCAGATCCAGAATCAGGGGTGTTTAGGATCTGAGTTCTATTGTATCTAAGGGCTTGTTTATATAGGGGCTACCAGGAGAATTAATCCAAATTAACTACAGTGTGAATTTTAAATAGATTAGTTAAACCGCATTAAATTCCTGTGTACATGATTTTATTCAGAATGTGAAAGTGGCCTCAATTCTGTTTAACTGAACTTAAGTGAATTAAGCTAAACCAAATTAAGGGACCTTTAAATAAATAAGAGTGCCCACACATGGATTTAATGAGGTTTAACTAATCCACTTTAAAAGTTAAGTTTTGCTGAGTGTTCCTGTGTAGACAAGACCTTACTCCACCCCCAGGTCCCACTGTATGTATCTCCCCCATTGTATCAAAGCTGACATAACCGTTTTTGGATCATCCCTACATTCCATACGGAAAAAAAATAATGTACTACACTCTGACAAAGGCATCAAAAGCAGGATTGGTGAAGGGAGCGTACTCAGAAGTTGTTGAAGGGACCCCAAAACCTTGGAAGGCTAAATATTTCAAAACACATATGAAATGAACATTGATATTAGCTAACAAAACAAAGAGAATGCAAGACGCCCAACACAGTGTAACATATGGGTGATGCAGCGAAAAACAGATCATGAGAAGTGTAAAAGAAGTGATAAAATGTGAAGCATGGAAAAGAGGAGTTCCATAAAATGTTTTGAATAACTGCACACACACATACCTGGTTTTGGCACAGAGTTGGTCATAGATTGAGGAACTTTGTCGTTAATTAGCTCAACACACTCACTCGGAAAGAATCCCACCTGTATGACAAGAAAAACAGAAACAGGGTATAAATGCAAAATATTAAAGATCGTATAGTCAAATTATTGTGTATGAGAAGCCATGTTAGTTACCTTTTCTCTTTTAAGCCTGTTTGTATACTACTCCACAACTGTATGAAACATACACATGGATTAGTATCACTATGATTTTTCAAAAATGATGTAAACAGAAAGTCTATGAGCCAAGTACTTTGTATTGTGCAATACACTAAACTTTGTTATAAATCTGAAAGCTTTTTCCACAGGACATAAATATTTCAGCTTGCAACAAGCTATACGTTTGTTCATACAGACGAGATGGCCTGCAGGCTCAAGTGAAATCTGAGGGGTGCAAAGCCGTGTTCTACTCTACACGAGGGTTAATTTCAAACACTCTGCGTACTATGGAAGGGGAAACTCTTCAGCTTTTAATATATCACTCAGCTAATTCAAAATGTTAGCAGTAATGATGTCTTTTCCACTGCCAATATATTATACTCACAGATATCTTCTATGTTCATTGCTTTTTTAAAAATTAATTTAAATGCAGGCTAATATATTTGTGCATTTTTCTCTCGCAGTTGCTTTCAAAATGCCCTGTTACAGCAACATGCAGCTGCCAGCTCAGGGAGCACATTAGGGAACGAACGATGCAGCACTGTTTACTTTCAGAGTCTCAACAGCAAACACCAAGATAGTTATATTGTTGCTTCTAGACATCTTTGAACCCACTCCACACAGCTGTTTCTTTCCAAAGAAAACACGGCACATGCTCGGGACATCTCCATCTTGCCAGGTTAACAACAAACGTCACTAACTGCCATTTAAAGGAGAGAATTTTTAGTTGCACTTGTCTCAACAAGTTCCTGAATTCATTTTGCTGGTACCAGTTCTAAAGACTTATATCCTGTAAGAGAGTCACCTTTTCTTCCCAGCTTCTCAAGAGATCATTCTTTCAGGGTCACAACCAACCCCTTATGCCTTGTTCTGACCCACTTTAAATCTGTGTCCTTGCCTTCCATACAAAGTTTTCATGATTTTGTATAAGAAGTGAGTTTAGTCCAAGAGTTAATCTCTACAGATGCAGCAGGACACTGTTAGAGCATGATCCAGGATTAAAGGATTTGGCAATGTACTAAAATTAATAGTGGGGATGATATATACTTAGATAAATGCAAGGTCATCTAAAGGTAAAGACTGCTGCACATCTTAAATCAAGCGGGGAGAGGTTGGGTTATTGTAACACAATCATAAATAATGTTTCTATTACCACTGTAATTATACTTCAGCCTTAGTTTTTATGCCAGGCCCATGGTAGCTCATGATGCCAACACGGGAAGACACATGAGGCTCTTAAGCAACTTTATGGGGAAACTGTTCACACCTTAGTGAATCTAAGCAAACAGGAGGCATTACTGCTCTAATAGCAGCTACCAAACAAAATGAGAACTTTTCTTTTTCATGGGCTAAGGATAGGTTAAATCTCATCCAATGGATGGCACGTCCCTTTAAAATTTACACAATGATGAGCGAGCAAGCTGCAATTTTAAAACAGCATTGCTAGTTTGGGTTTCATTATAATGATTTACTGCCTTATTGACAAGTTAATGTCTTTGGTTTCACATATGCTGTTTGCCAGATAATTACATTAGTGATTGAGGTGGAGTGGAGAGAAAAGCCCCTCACTAATGCAACATCAGGAAGCCCAGGAAGAATTTAGTTTACTTACTCTGTTCCCATTGCCACCTCTAGTTAGTACTGCATTTGCTTCTTGGCATACAGAAGAGTGTACATTTCCTTCTCTCTCCTTCTCTGGGATCTCCGGCACTTTTTAAAAAATTGTTTATTTAAGCCACAGATAAACCCATATAAAACACCCTTCCAGGTAATAGAATTCAAGAGGATGATGATACTTTGCACAGTGTGAAACAGGGACTTCAAGTCTGACAACCTAATAAACCCCACCCTCTATTTTCTCTTCGCATCAAAAGCATTGTCATCCATTATCTAATGCAGAGAGTCATCTTCCCCCACTAGCATATGCCAAACACCACATCACAACAGAAGACCCTTCATCAGAGAGCAGAGAAGCACCACCGACTGCACAGATTCCTACTGTGGCTTAAAGGCAATCTTCAATTTTATTTTCTATCTACATTTCAAGGCCATAATGCAAGCTGAATTTAGGAGGGGCCTTCACACCATGCATGAAATTTGCTTGAAAAAACAATGCTGGGATAAGCCCTTGTACTAATGACCTGCTGCAGGTTTTGCTGTACTTCAACACCTACATGAAAATAATATACACTTATCTTGCCTCTCGGAGTCTCAGTTTACTCCTCTGGAAGACCCTGATTCAGGAAATCAAGGTGGGTATGTAAGTGCATGCCTATAGTTAAGCGTGTGCCTAAGCAATTTCCTCAAATGGGTGTAATGATTCTTTCTTTGCAGCCGAGGTCTGATGTTTGTTTAATGCTTGCAAAGGATTCAGTGAAAGGGTCTACAGAAGGGTAAAGAAATTATTATTAAGACATTCCAGGGTGTTGCCATATTTCCTTGTATCACAGGATACTTTGGGAGACATAAGACCACTCTACTATACAGATATCCAGGGAAGTCCCGGACGACTGGAAAAAGGCTAATGTAGTGCCAATCTTTAAAAAAGGGAAGAAGGAGGATCCTGGGAACTACAGGCCAGTCAGCCTCACCTCAGTCCCTGGAAAAATCATGGAGCAGGTCCTCAAGGAATCAATTCTGAAGCACTTAGAGGAGAGGAAAGTGATCGGGAACAGTCAGCATGGATTCACCAAGGGCAAGTCATGCCTGGCTAATCTAATTGTCTTCTATGACGAGATAACTGGCTCTCTGGATGAGGGGAAAGCGGTGGACGTGTTGTTCCTTGACTTTAGCAAAGCTTTTGACACGGTCTCCAACAGTATTCTTGCCAGCAAGTTAAAGAAGTACGGGCTGGATGAATGGACTATAAGGTGGATAGAAAGTTGGCTAGATTGTCAGGCTCAACGGGAAGTGATCAATGGCTCCATGTCTAGCTGGCACCCGGTATCAAGTGGAGAGCCCCAAGGGTCGGTCCTCGGGCCGGTTTTGTTCAATATCTTCATAAATGATCTGGAGGATGGTGTGGATTGCACCCTCAGCAAGTTTGCAGATGACACTAAACTGGGAGGAGAGGTAGATACACTGGAGGGTAGGGATAGGATACAGAGGGACCTAGACACATGAGAGGATTGGGCCAAAAGAAATCTGATGAGGTTCAACAAGGACAAGTGCAGAGTCCTTCACTTAGGACGGAAGAATCCCATGCACCGCTACAGACTAGGGACCGAATGGCTAGGCAGCAGTTCTGCAGAAAAGGACCTAGGGGTGACAGTGGACGAGAAGCTGGATATGAGTCAACAGTATGCCCTTGTTGCCAAGAAGGCCAATGGCGTTTTGGGATATATATGTAGGGGCATTGCCAGCAGATTGAGGGACGTGATTGTTCCCCTCTATTCGACATTGGTGAGGCCTCATCTGGAGTACTGTGTCCAGTTTTGGGCCCCACACTACAAGCAGGATATGGATAAATTGGAGAGAGTCCAGCGGAGGGCAACAAAAATTATTAGGGGACTGGAACACATGACTTATGAGGAGAGGCTGAGGGAACTGGGATTGTTTAGTCTGCGGAAGAGAAGAATGAGGGGGGGATCTGATAGCTGCTTTCAACTACCTGAAAAGGGGTTCCAAAGAGGATGGATCTAGACTGTACTCAGTGGTAGCTGATGACAGAACAAGGAGCAATGGTCTCAAGTTACAGTGGGGATATTAGGAAAAACTTTTTCACTAGGAGGGTGGTGAAACACTGGAATGCATTACATAGGGAGGTGGTGGAAGGTGGTGGAATCTCCTTCCTTAGATATTTTTAAGGTCAGGCTTGACAAAGCCCTGGCTGGGATGATGTAGTTGGGGATTGGTCCTGCTTTGAGCAGGGGGTTGAACTAGATGACCTCCTGAGGTCCCTTCCAACCTTGATATTCTAGGATTCAGTATTACAATGCCAGGATGTATGTTACTGCTATTATAAAAATGAACCATTAAAAAAAAATTGTGAGTAACAAGAACTCAATGTTTGTTGGCTACAATATTTACTACCACCAGACCACCACCACCAATGCCCAAGTCAAATCAGCCTTTTGGAAATGTTGCTTTATAATATATAATCATCCTACTTTACCTTGTCACAGTGTCATGTCTGGAACATAATCTGCCCCTTATGGGAAGTACTGCCTGCAGGTCAGTCCACGCTGCCTCATGGTCTGGCTCTTTAAGTGTTGTATAATCTGATTATAGATACAAAGATCTGGTAGATACTGGGAGAGAGGAAACTGTCCCGGGAGCAAGCAGGGTTTGGAAGGAAACCCTGGTATTGCTTCTTTAAAGGCCTGGGGCAAGGCTCCCCTCTCTCCCAATTGGGGATGAGTTGGGACAAGGGGACGAGCATAAATGCTGCCTCTTCCTTCACGCCGGGCAGATGCCTGCAGACACTGAAGGGAGTGAGAGAAGGCTCCTGCAGGGTCATAGAATCATAGAAGATATGGGTTGGAAGAGATCTCGGGAGGTCATCTAGTCCAACCCCCTGCTCCAAGCAGGACCAACCCCAACTCAGGTGTCCTGAGTCACCAGCCTGAGGACTAAGTGGGGCCAACTGCTTCGATTACCCAGCTGCAGGAGGTAAGCAGTAAGGAGAAGACACAGGAATAGAAGTAAATTGCAACCTAGCTCCAGGAGAAGAGCTGGGGACTCCTGGTAAGGGAGAGGGACAAGAACTGCTTGAACTACCCAAGTTCCAAGAGGAGGGCTGGGCTCATGCCATAAAGACAGACATAATGACTGAGAAGATAACCCTGAGATGATTGGGAACAGAGGTTACAGGGCAGGCTCCAGAAAACCAGAAGCACCTTTTGTTTATTTGGGACTTTTTGTTATGGAATCTTTTGATGAGG